TCACCCTGGTGGAGTACCTGGCCCGCCAGCCCCGGCGGCTGCAGAAGCTACGCAGACTCGACGTCGTCCCTGTGAGGGAGGGAAGGTGATCAGAACAAAACGAACACCGAGCAAATAACTAATTAGCAGAGCATCTAAGACATCTCTAGTCTTATGATTGGGGGTGCAGCCGGAGGGCCACAAATTTTACTCTTAAATAAGCCCTGGAGCCAACGCCTAGCTTCACCACGCATTAACTTTACTCAGCCTCAGAACTAGAAGCCGCAGACTACGCTTGAACTCCGTAATCCAGAGAAGCAACACACTGCCGAAAGATAATAGCGCTGTAGGTCTTCAGCCAATGCTTAAGCATGCTCGCTCATAAGCAGGCAGTTCCCCATCCGGCTGTACCTACTCCGGTCTAACCTCTTCTGGCCTAACCTATTCACGCTGTCCCGGCTCACAACCTTCTTGCAGCCAATGACTGGCTCTACCAGCACACTTGGACCGCCTTTCTAACTTCTTGCAGCCAATGAGGCTAGGTTAGAGCCGCTCAGGTTTGTTTTGGGTGGAGAAAGGTTGCAGCTCGTATAGGTTAGGCCTGAAGAGGTTAGGCCAGATGAGGTTTGGCCAGATGCAGTATGGCCATGTTTAACTTTGGCAAGCTTATTTTGTGGCTGTGGACATCCGGCGCTATGGCTTTGAGCACTTGACTTCATAGGTCGTTATGCACTCTAGCGTTCTTACCTATGAAAAAGAATATGAACTAAGTGGGATGTTTTTCAAAGCTGGCCTCCAGCATGCGCGGCCCTTATGATTAGTCTCTCTGATGACGTCACCACAAATCACTATAAGGTTGTTAACTATCAAGCTCTTCCGCCTGACGTACAACTGCACAACGTTTTAAATCTGAATACGTGCGCTGTCTTAACAATTGTACGACAACATCGGCGGCAGGTGGAGTGAGGCAACCAATTGGGGCGCCTTAGTGCGAGAGAGTCAATCGTGCGTTGGTTGTACGTTTGTCATGCGTTGTTAGTTTACTCACTCCTGACGAAGGCGGGGGTTGAGAGGGCCTGCGTGACTCTGCTGAGGATGGTCGGTATCCCCCTGGCGGGCGTGACGGGCCCTGGCTGAAAATTGGGTGTTGGCCCCACAGCCAGGACCTCGGGGGACACCTCCACCTGGCACAACAACGAGAACAACACCCAGAAAAAATTACGTCATATTGCTCAAATAACGGTTCAGGTCATCCCATTTGTGGATCATTCTAACCCAGTTTCGCCCGGCAGAAAAAGTATAAATGCTAGGTCCGTTCTCAGGGCTCGTGATATGGGTAAGAAAGTGAGTCACTATTGGGACAATAGGGAGAGTGTGTCATTCATTATTGTACTGCAGGGGTAGCGATAGAACCAATAGTGCAAGGGCCATACTTTCAAAACTCTCTAAGTGAACGTAAGTACTTACGCTCTATTTTCTTGCCTATGATTGGTGGATTTTGCTTGAAAGGCCGTTAATGATTGGCTGATGAACTTATGATCTCTTAATTTTTTTTTTAAATTATAGGCCCAGGTTTATGAGTTGAAACGCCAAGATATTCTCAAGTTATGGATGATTATTCTTGGTAAACTTACAACTTTTGCATAAACGAAAAAGTCAAATTTTGTCCAGAATTCGAGCCCGTTTTTGTAAGCCTAACTCTTATTCGCTACACGAATAACGTGAGTGGGTCACACTTGACCCACTTGAGGAATGGTATAATGGCTGGCTGAAATGAGTCGATGTACGAAACTGAGTCTAAAACCTCATTGAATATATTTCGGTTTTTGGACTAACTCGAGTGGTTCAACCTAACCAATTTTCTGCAATACAATACCCATTGACTTAGGCTGGGTCAACGTAGGACCCAATTTAACCCAGTGCCAGGGCGTATCAGTGCTACGTCCACTCTCTGCTATTGCAATGGGTAAGAGAATGAGTCAATATTTGGACAGCATTCTAGTGACAGTATTCTTCCATTGTATTTAGTGAATGTGAATTAATTAACCCTCTACCGCTTGACATGAGTAACCGGAGCAATATTAGTAGTATATTAGTATTATAAATATAATATAATAATATTAGTATAATTAAAAATATGAGTAACCGGAGCAATATTGTCAAAAGCCTACTTCCTAAAAAGGATAGGTTCTAGTGAGCGCAAAATGACTTGCACTGATGCTTGCTGCTGTGTACAACTTTAAAATTTTCTCTGTTGCGTACAGACGTCGTCAGGTTGCTACACTCAATAGTTTACGTATAATTTAAGTTTAAAGTTATGGTCCCGGAGAATGACATACGACGGTAGAGGGTTAAAAACTGTTTTACCTGGACAGTTTGCTCTTTGGTGTCCAGAACAGACTTGCTCTGCACCAGCCCTCCAGTGACGGTCTTTACGGCTTCCTCAGGGATGGGTTCAAGAACTGGGATCTGTACTATCCTCTGCTGATCCAGGGGGATAACGAGATCTGCGGTGGAACCTGTTGGGGAAATAAGGACCTTGAGCCCGTTAGTGAACCTGGGAAAAGACACTCTGAACCAGGGAATACACTCTGAACCTGGGAATAGACACTCTGAACCTGGGAATAGACACTCTGAACCTGTTGTATGGTAGCGCTGCTGGTACCACCTCCTCGAAGTACATGTCCTTGATGAGCTCAGGATGGTCCTCGTGCATCTCGTCCACGATCAGGTAGGATGTCTGAAGCAGATACCAACACAATATCAGGTGAGCTGCAGTGAGACTGGCAGAAATATCAATGTGGGTCGTACATTTGACAGAAAATTTATTCCTATGCCAACGTCAAGATCCTTCTCGACCAACCCTTAGCCAACAGGAACCCTGATTCCTACCTGCCCCCAGCTGTAACGCAGTAGACCCTACACTGCCCGGAAAATACTGACATTATTTTTAAAAACCAATTGAATTTGATGCAACAGGCATAAGAGGAGCAGATTGCAAGATTTCGTGAGTATGAGGGCTGCCACTTGCTTGTGGGTTGCCATCAACTACCTAACTAGAGTGCTGCTGGTGTACAATCCTCGAGAGGGCGTTCATATCAACCACCGGCAGATTACATTTCTGGACGGCTTTTTTCAACCAGCGTTTCGGTTTCAACTAGGGAGTTGGTTGCTAACTAGTGAGTTGGTTGCCAACTAGTGATTTGGTTGCCAATTAGTGAGTTGGTTGCTAAATAGTGAGTTGGTTGCGAACCAGTGAGTTGGTTGCCAACTAGTGAGTTAGTTGCTAACTTGTGAGTTGGTTGCCAACATGTGAATTAGTTGCCAACTAGTGAATTAGTTGTCAACTAATGATTTGGTTGGCACATATCACAAGATGAGTGTTCTAGTCACCAACCTGCAGGTTCTTATCCACCATGGCATTAACCTCGAAGTCATCATCGTCTTCACCGAAGGGGTTGATGAGAGATTCCGCCACCTTCAGCCACCCCATGTAGAAGACGAACTGTAGGATCGTGAACCAGGGCACGTACATGTCCACCTGGCGCCCCGGATCGTCTGCCACATCAATGTAATTCGTAACAGGATTCGTATCGGTCTCTCATGATCTTTTAATTCGTACGGGTATGTTATAATTATTCTTATGGGTCATTATTATTGGTCACGAACTCTAGGGTATAGACGTAAGGCCGTCAACTAAGTAGAAGTCAAAAGAAATAAACGTGATGACCTGAGATGATTTCATGGCGTTGCAGCTCACGAAATTTCTAAAAATAAAATTCAGAAATAATATTATTTCTTCCCTGGTTCTATAATTTAATTGAAACATATAAACTATATTGAAAAACGTGAGGTAAATGCATGAGTCACTACCGTTATTACTACTGTGACTAGCTGCAGCATGGGTCTACTACAGTGACCATGCACTACCGTGACCACTACCGTGACCACTACGATGACAACATACCTTGCGAGTCCTCCAGGAACTGCCGACCTATCATGGTACTGACGAAGAAGGTGTACACGGACAGCGTCACTACCTGCAATAAAAGACAGTACAGTATACGGGGTGATAATACATGAAAGTTACATTACAGTATACATACGTATACTGGTGGTAATACATGAGAGTTACATTACAGTATAGTACAGTACAGTACGTAGCTCTAACGCGAGTTACATCTCGGCGTACGAACTTGTCGGCGTCTGGGGGGGACCTTAATAGAGTTGAAATGAAATGAAACAGCGGTTTCAGCGTTTAGTAGGCCGTAGGCCTGTCGCCGATTCTTAACATCGCAGAACATTCAGAGCATTTTGCGGTCTCGAACTCGCAACTCACTGCTACAATTCTGCTGTGCTTAACCGCCCGGCCTCCTTGCCGATTCTGACCAGAAACTAACGCACAGAGCCGGGATCGAACCCGCGCCTCTCTGCGCCAATCCTGGTACTCTGAACTGTAACCACTGTTCCCAGCCCGTATATAGCCTTCGCTTCCGCCCACCGGGTTCTTGTCTTCGTGACACATATACTGAAAAATCTGCCGACTCAGTGTCTAAGGCAAGCTCTCAGTGACACCGTGGACTCATAGCTAACCAGGTCTGCTGGTAAACACATATTATCACTGTGAGAAAAATCACCGTTAAACGGTCTCACCGGCTGTCTAGTCGTCTCAAGAAACACCGTAAATGGTCTCAAGAAACACCGTATGGCTGTTTATACCCAAATTTAACCCTAGAAACCCGTACAAAATCTGAAAAAACAGATAAACGGTTTATCTTCACGTGTCGGCAGGCTACTATAGAACGCCGGTGAGACCGTTTTTCTACCGTTTATTCAAACAGGTTAAGTATTTGCATCCACAAACTATATCACTGTTGGAAAAACAGTGAAAAAACGGTCTTACCGGCGTTCTAGTAACCAGCCGTCGTAAAAATAAACCATTTTGCCGTTTTTTCAGATGTTACACGAGTTTCTAGTGTAAAATTTGAATAAAAACGGCAATACGGAGTACATTTTCACGTGCCGGCCGGTTACTGAAACGCCGGTGATACCGTTTAACGGTGATTTTTCTAACAGTGATACTCATGGTCCAGTGGTTACAGTTCAGAGTACCAAGATTAACGTAGAGAGGCGCGGGTTCGATCCCAACTCAAGAAGAATTGGACCAGTGAGTTGCCAGTTCGAGACCTCAAAATGCTGTGAATGTTCTGCGATGTTAAGAATCCACGACAGGCCTACGGCCTACTAAACGCTGAAACCGCTACATTTTTACCACGTTTTTCTTAGCTCGCTTTCGTGTCTGTCTGTGATGATCAAATCTTGCAATCGATATTTCACCAACTTTCCCGCTAGCTAGCACTCTGAAACTTTTAGGGAAGCTCATCTCCCGATGACAATCCAATAATCAATAATTTGTTGCACGTTTCCAGGCGTATTTATTACCGAACCTTTCTTTAATACAGCCACGCACCCAGATAAATACGGGAACAACAATGTATCCCCTCGAATACAATTTTCTACAGAACTTCGAAAAGAATTTTCTTTCGTGCATTTGCGTGGCCAACTGAAATAAAATGAATATTATGTAGGATGGTTGACCTTTGTGCACTAGTTATGAACTCTAAAGGAACTCACAAGCAGGGGCTGGGAACCTTCAATGCACGTCATCCTCGAGAGGATATTCGTGTTTAGACTGCGTATATCGATGATACGCTGCGTATCATCGATACGTACGTCAAGTCAAGTAAATTGGCTCGCAACAACGTTTTTCATGTGTAGCAACGGACTAAAAATTGTATACGAGAGGTACACATACCTGCGTGTATACTAGAGGTACCTGCATGTATACGAGAGGTACACATACCTGCGTGTATACGAGAGGTACACATACCTGCGTGTATACGAGAGGTACACATACCTGCGTGTATACGAGAGGTACACATATGTAGTCGTAGTGCAGGAGAGAGTGACACCCTCTCCTGAAGTTGGTGATCTCGTTCATGATCGTGTTAAGGGCGAAGTCGTCCTTTATTTTCCCTTGCTTGCGGGCCTTAGTCACCACCGCCCCCGCCCAGACTAAGGGCAACCAATACTTAGGTGTACCCGTCCTCCAGTGGATGATGTCGAATATCATCTGCTCCTGCTCGGTCAGCAGACCTGCAAACCGATGATAGGGACAGTTAGTAGGGGAGATGATAGAGGATATCATCAGCTCTTGCTCACCGATGATAGAGACGGTTAGTTAGGGGGAGATGATAGAAGATATCATCAGCTCTTGCACGCACGTGCAGATTATTATTTGATGATTGTCGGCGTTGTAAGTGGATGCAAGGGACAACTAATAGGAAATATGCCTGTCGCGACGTAGGCCTACAGTGAAGTAGGCCTACAGTGAAATAAGGTTGGCATACAATTTGTACTAACATTTTAATTCCGCGCACATTCCTAACAACGCTGTTGTAAAATTCGGTGCATAAGAAGAATTGACTGCTGCATTTAATTCCAAAATGAGCATCAACCGTGAAGACTTTGCGTTCTTTCCCTCTATAGGCACTTTGCGGTTAAAATAGTACAATATTATCATTATATATATGACAACATTGCTATTTTGAGCCATTTGATCACTGAAATCGTGCATATTTACCAAATTTTCATCGAAAACGTGCCTGTATTACAAGCTTGGGAATTATATCTATCAACGCACGTTAGAATGTCACGTAACGTCCATGTCAGAGTAACGGATCATCGATGGAAAATTCGTCGTTCTAGTGTTCCGCTGGCCCGTCCGCCCCATTCTGCTGTGTGACGCGCGCAAAGATGGTACTACATGCATGGCAGTATCAAGGATACGGCCACTACGAAGTGGGTCATGGTACCCACCTGCGTTGACAAGGTGGGTCATGGTACCCACCTGCGTTGACAAGGTGGGTCATGGTACCCACCTGCGTTGACAAGGTGGGTCATGGTGGGGAAGCGCTTCTTAACAGGTGGGCTGATCATGCTCATGGTGAGGGCGAAGGAGAGGCACACGTAGCGTAGGATAGTGCGCCGCAGGACACGTGTCTCCTCCGTCTGTACATTATTATTAATTATTATCATTAATTCATATTAATATGACATATTAGAGATCACTAGTCTTATGATTAGTCTCTCTGGTGACGTCACTACAAATCACTATAAAGTTGTTAACTGTCAAGCTCTTCCGCCTGACGTACAACTGCACAGCGTTTTAAATCTGAACACGTTCACTGCCATAACAATTGTACGACAACATCGGCGGCAGGTAGAGTGAGGCAACCAATCAGAACGCTGCAGTGCGAGTGAGACAACCAATCTGAGCGAGGCAAAGCTGATTACTTGATTCATTCTATGCTATAATATACAACAATATACATCAAACTATAAACAATATACGACAATGATATTCTCAAGGAAACTTCGTGTTGCTGTATTTTGGTCGAGTCAACATCATGGAGGAAGAGGCGTCCCTTCAAGCCAAAGCATACGACGACCTAACGTCCGGTCGTTAGGAACTTGATCACTCGGACCCAGTGGCCCGGGGGTTCGAGCCCCAATCAAGACAAGTTATTTCGGGAAACTCAGCTCATGACTAACCTATCAATTTATTCAATTGTGGTTATTAATGAGTACCTGGCTTGTCCTGGGTGTGGTGATTACCTGGCTTGTCCAGGGTGTGGTGAGTACCTGGCTTGTCCAGGGTGTGGTGAGTACCTGGCTTGTCCAGGGTGTGGTGAGTACCTGGCTTGTCCAGGGTGTGGTGTAATGTTAAATGGTTCTGGTGGGTAAGCGAGCCATTAGTGGTCGCATAACTACCAGTGGCCTTAATGCCCATAAAAACTGAACTGTCATCCTCCTTTACCAAGTTCGCCACTACTAGGGTAACCTATAATTCGACACTCACCTGGCCCCGTATGTTGAAGGAGACGAAGACGGCGACGGTGCTGGGGAAGGGGATAGTGTTGTATTGGTCCCACCATCTCGTCATGACGATGCTCACGTAGAAGCCCAGGACGAAGGCCATGGGGATGAGTTTGGTGAACTCCTCGATGTGTAAGGCGATGCCTTCAAAAGTCCTGCGCAGTCGAAAACGAAATGTTTCACCGTCTCAGCCATACATGTTCACAACCAAAATTATAACCTATTTTCTTTAATACGCTCATTTGAAATAAAATAATTATTGAAGAAATCTCCGTGATTAGGTTTTCTTCCCACCTCGCCCACTGCCGACAACAAAAGCGTCACACCACCTCCTCAACAGCCCCAATAAGAGCATGTAACCTCAGCAGAAGTAAAATCAGCAAAATTTCGTTCCCGGGGAAACTGTGCTGCTCTGACCTCACTAAACGCAGGTTTGGTATTTACCATTGGTTGCGGTCAGAACATAAAATATTACTATGACAGGTGTTTGGGCAACTAACTAAATTATAATACGCAACTAGCCTCTCTCGAGGTGAACAGTGGTAAGATCGCTAGCATTCATTCCTATCTTTGAACATCCCCATGTGCCATACTGCACACCTCCCTGGGTTACACTAAAGTCAGATCGCCAGCAGACATCATCATTGACCTTTCCCGCTGCTAAGCTGCCCACTTCTACGGAAGGTCACTACGGTCTGATCGGCTGCATACATCCCCCTTATTGACCATGCGCAGTGTCAACCTGCTTAGCTATACTGGGGTGGGGTACACTGAGGTCCGATCGCCTGCATGCATTCCTATATTATTGATCATCCCCAGTGTCAACGTGCTTACCCATCCTGGGATGCACTAAGGCTGATCGCCTGTATACATTCCTATCGTTGAGCATGCCCAGTGTCAACCTGCTTAATTACCTATCCTGGGATGCACTAAGGCTGATCGCCTGTATACATTCCAATTATTGACCATACTCAGTGTCAACCTGCTTACCTATCCTGGGATACACTAAGGCCCGATCGCCTGCATACATTCACATTATTGACCATACCCAGTGTCAACCTGCGAATGCAACTCTTCTTAGGTACACTTAATTAGGTCCGATTGCCTGCATGCATCCCCATTATTGATCATATCCAGTATCAACTTGCTCACCCCTCTTGGGGTACTCATAGGTCTGATCGTCTGCGTGCATCCCCATTATTTACCATACCCAGTGTCAATTGCCTACCTCCTCTTGGGGTACGCATAGGCCCGATCGCATGCATACATCCCCATTATTGACCATACCCAGTGTCAACCTGCTCACCTCTTCTGGGGTTCAGTGAGGGCCAGACGGTAGATAAGGGAGATCGTAAAGTAACACAGGCAGTAGATAAGTAGCTCATGCCACACCAGCTTGTAGATGCTGCCCTTCCATCTACAGAACAGCAAAAATTCATACCCATTATACCAGTGTAATGGTTAGGAGTATCTATTATACCTGTGTAATGGTTAGGAATAGAATCCTTTACAATGCAGGGACGGAAGAAATGTGACTTAAAGCAAAGCCAGGGCGTGGGTTTAAGCAATTTCTGGGGGTTTAAAAGTTGCTTAAACCCCAAAGCCAATGGAGGTTTAAGTAAATTAATTGTTAGAACTTTGCTACTCAGCCACCATACAATATATCCTTTATATCCTTTTATACACACAATATAATGACACAATACACAAACAATTCATTATAGTAGAGTAGTAAGTGGGTCAGTAGGGTGGTCCAGTGGTTACAGTTCAGAGTGCCAAGATTGGCGCAGTGAGTTGCGGGTTCGATCCCAGCTCTGTGCGCCAGTTTCTGGTCAGAATCGTCGAGGAGGCCGGGTGGTTTATGCAAAAGCAGAATTGTAGCAGTGAGTTGCGAGTTCGAGACCTCAAAATGTTGTGAATGTTCTGCGATGTTAAGAATCGGCGACAGGCCTACGGCCTAATAAACGCTGAAACGCTATTATTATTTTAGTGACCCGGGGCCATACTTTCAAAACTCGCTAAGTGAACGCAAGTACTTACGCACTATTTTCTTGTCTATGATTGGTGGATTTTGCTTGAAAGGCCGTCAATGATTGGCTGATGAACTTACGATCTCTTAACTTTTATTGAAAGTATAGGCCCCTGGTCAAAAGTGAGTCTAGTTGACTCACCTGAAGAGCAGTTTCCAGAAGCAGCCGAGGCCGCGGCTGGTGGCCACGTCCGCTGTGTACGTCACCGTCATGGTGAGGTGGGCATCACTGTCACCTGGTGGGATGGTGGGCCTACACTGTCATCACAGTGATGAGGTGGGTTAGTGGGCTCAAGGGGTGAGAATGAGTATCACCATCACATCACCACCACCATCATCACCACCACCATCATAGTCCCCACCACCATCATAATCAATAATCCCAAACACCATTATGGTCCCCACCACTACCACCACCTTCACCACCACCAAACCATCAGCGCAATCATCCCATGACTACAACCATCACCACCACCACCATAATCCCCACCACCATCACAACCCCAACCACCATCACCACCATATAATCACCATCATAACCTCATAAAACTATAACAACCACCATATTATCCCCACCATAACCCCCAAATTACCATCACCACCATATCATCACCATCATAACCACCACCACCATAACCTTTCAGGACCCCTCTCCCCCTCCCCCGACGATGACTTGCATAATTTAGTACGCGAGGGACCAGTAAGTACAGTCAGCGCAGTAAGTACAGTCAGCGCAGTAAGTACAGTCAGCGCAGTAAGGACAGTCAGCGCAGTAAGTACAGTCAGCGCAGTAAGTACAGTCAGCGCAGTAAGGACAGTCAGCGTCTCTATATCACGCATCATTCATCACAAAAATGTCACTGTCGCTCCAGTAAATCACTGTTCGTCTTCACTCACTGTACCGTGACTCACTTTATGAATGATATCTTTACTCTTTATCATTCACGTATCATTCATTCATCATTATTCAAGTTTTATTCATCATTATTCATGTTTCATTCACTCGTGAACGCGTCATTCATCACAAAAATGTCACTGTCTCACGGCTGTCGCTCCAATAAATCACTGTTCGTCTTCACTCACTGTACCGTGACTTAATTTATGAATTATATCATGATTCATCATCATTCATTCATGTTTTATTCATACATTATTCATGTTTCATTCACTCGTGAACCTGACACGAGCTTTACAAGGAAACAGAAGCAACGTTGTCCTGGAAACGAGCGCCGCAGCGACATAACCTCACTCGCTCGCCGCCGCGGGGTAACTGGAGTCATTGTTGGGTTGCCAGAAGTTGGGGGCGTCAAGAAACGGCCAAATGCGATCACTAAAAGTGCTAAAACTTACCATATATAATTGTTTATTCTAGTATATTTGTAATATATGGTAAAATAATTACTATTTTCGTGTTTTTATATAGTGAAAAATATAAAAATTCATTGCCGTCAATAGATTTTTTGCATATATAACAATACGCGGGGTAACTAGAGTCATTATTGGGTTGCCAGAAGTTGGGGGCGTCAGGAAACGGCCAAATCCTATCACTAAAAGTGCTAAAACTTACCATATTTGAATTTTTATTTAGCATATTTGTAATCTGCGGTAGAATAATTATTATTTACGTGTTTTTATATCGTAAAATATATAAAAAGTTCAAAGCTGGCATAGATTTTTTTCAAATATAACGATATTGAAAAAGGCCAGAATCATTCAATTTGGCCGTAAAAAGGCATATCTGGCAACCTTGACTCTGGCCTCCAGGCGACGCGGCCTTCGCTACCATGACATCCAATATTCAAATCATACAAGCCCAGATAACACGAGTAACACACACGAATATTCAAGGTATTAATTCATTACATCATGACACACTTCTGCCACTCACGTGACCCACTTTAGAGCTGTCGTGGAGTTCAGGTACACTTAGTTTGACACATTTATTTTATTTCGTGAATTTGAATACAGTGTCTCAGTTCGTATGAATGAATGTATGAATGTATCTTCGAAATATACAAGACCTAAAATGTACTAATTTATTATTATCTAAGCATGATAATCAATTATTGAATAAAATTATGATATTACAAAGCGTGAGGTGATATATATTTTAATATATAAATATACTAATATATTAATATTTTTAGTATACTGTATAAATGTACTAATATATTATTATATATTTCATTGATTTTTATTATTGTTAAGTTTTTATTATATAAATATTTTATATAAATATTTTTTTAAGCTTTTGTTAGCGTTGAAAGGATGTTGAAATTATAATATTCAACATAATGCAACGTTGATATTTAGTTATATATATCCTAACTCCTTTGTTGCCGGGGGTTATAAGAAATTCATCAAGAATTCATTGAAGGATAATAAAACACGAGCGTTGAAGTAAGCAATATTGAACAAGTAATATATTTTGTATTACTTAATTAACATTATCAAGTAATGGTGCTAGTAATGGTATTCCTACCTAAATAGTGATTACAATAGATAAGGCAAGATAAGGTTCACTATCACGTGTACAGTGTGTACAGTGATACAGTGTAGCGCTGTATACACTGTATCACTGCACACACTGACTGTACAGTGATAGTGTGTATATATATATCACTGTACAGTGTGTACAGTGATATCACTGTACACACTGTACAGTCTGGGCCCATGGGGCGTGGGTTCGAGTCCAGGCGAGAAGAAAAATTTCGCGGCGACGTAAAGAATTTGTAATTAAATCGTAAATGCTGTGTTGGCTAACTGAACCCAACCCAACGTAACCTAGCCCAACCTAACCTAGCCCAACCTAACCCAACGTAACCCAGCCCAACCTAACCTAGCCCAACCTAACCTTACCCAACCTAACCCAACGTAACCCAGCCCAACCTAACCTAGCCCAACCTAACCTTACCCAACCTAACCC